ATAATTGTTTCCGAAAAACTGCAGTTTATGACTGTTAATGTAACTCTCATGTAACACTGATTAGTTTGACAAGTACTGTCATGGGTTTCCAAAAAATTACATAATTTAATGTGAATTTTTATGTTTTGTGACTTTTGTATATTTGAGTGCGCACATTAGGCGCAAGCCTCGTAAAGTTGTGTGAAACACAATGTATTTATTAGAGAATTTAAAAATTATTTTTTATGTAAGACTTTTGCAAAAACTTACAAATAGCCATTATAATTTTCTTGATTTTAAGCAGTATTTCCTTAATCTTTTTAATAATAACTTTAATCGTTTTTACCACCGACTTAATTGCGTCTTTGATGGCATAAAATGGCTTCTTAATCACTTCGATAATTTGCCTAACTGCCGATTTTAGTTGCTCTTGTCCACAAGCCATACTCTCGCTCAAAATTCCCATATTATTTAACGTATTTTTCGCTGGTCCAGTTATCGCCAAGATGAAAGCGTAGGCTAATAACGCCTGTCTGCCTCTTTTCGAGAAAAACTGTGGCAGTGTAAGGAATACAACGCATCTAAAACAAGCCACTTTAAACAATACGAACGACGTTCTGTCGTGACGTCTTAATTAGGTTTTAATTGTACGAATGCCTCTTTAGGCGTCTGCAATTTACCTGATGTAGCGGCTAAAAGCGAGGCCTAGCATCAGCACACTGCCGAAAATTGAGCACATCATTGTGGCCGTTGACAGTTTGAAGTTGAGTTGGACGACGAAGAACATGAAGAAGATGTAAGTTAAAACGAAACCACCAATAAAGCCTAGGATGCTCTTCACTATGTAGTTTTCGAAGGAGCCGTCGTGTTTTAGCTTGTAGAGGAATCGTTGAAATCTGGAGTTTTGGGGAAAAGAACAGCATTTTCTTATACGGAGGACGCAGTTTATGCGGCAATGACGGCATTTTTGACCCAGGGTCAAGCGTGGTGTTTCGTGGTGGAAGAGTTTCACCGCATCTGACTTTTCTTTGATCAGGTTTTTCTTAAGGCCATTTAGACTTAAGGCCTTGCAGAAGGCACGAAAATGCGCCATGGAATTAATTTTACAACTGACAGGTTTTGACAGGTACAATTTTCGTTCCTATGTATTTTATTTTATGCTTTGGCCATTAGCCATGCATAAGGTCAGGTCAGGTATAATTATAAATTCAAATGATCGCGCGGTACTTCTGGCCGTTCTAGCTTCCACTGTTCCTATACAGGGTGATTCAGTTAAAATAATCCATTAGACCCCTCTTGGCAGACAACCTATAATACACAAAGCAATTATTCCTTGATTCATATTCGAATTTTGACAGTTTCATGAATCGAAAAATATCGTTCTTTGATTCTCGATATTTTGAAAATTATATAAAGAGGCTTGTCCTGACTGATCTATCAACCCACAGCCTAAACCGCTGTAGACAGAAATTTCAAATTTTTACAGTAGATACCTTTTGTAACGTAGGCATCCAATAAGAAAGGATTTTTGGAAAATCAACCCTTAAGGGGGTTAAATGGGGTGGTGAATTCGAAGCTACATCCATGGAAATTGGTATTTAGGCTTTCGGTCAAAAAAAACACGTATTTTACCATTTTTGGAAATTTCACCCCCAAGGGGGTTGAACAAGGGTAAAAGGTCGTAAAATATCCGTATTTTTTTTAAAGTTAAATTCATGAAAATTGGTATTTGGGCTCTCAGTTAAAAACAAAAAAACACGTGTTTTAGGATTTTGGAAAATTTCATCCCCAAAGGGGTCAAACAAGGGATGAAAATTTGTATAAATATTTATAAATTCGTCATTTTTGAAGTTATATTTATGAAAATTGGGATTTGGGCTTTCGGTTGAAAATAAAGAAACACGTGTTTTACGATTTTTGAAAATTCCACCCTCAAGGGGGTTAAACAGGGATGACAATCTGTATTAAAATATGTCATTTATAAAGTTAAATCCTTGAAAATTTGTATTTAGGCTTTCGATTAAAAATCAAGTAATACATGTTTCAGGATTTTTGGAAATTTCACCCTTAAGGGGGTTGAACAAGGGTAAAACTTCGTAAAATATCCGTTTTTTAAAGTTAAATCTATGAAAATTGGTATTTGGGTGTTCAGTTAAAAACAAAATAGTACGTGTTTCAAGATTTTGGAGAATTCTATCCCTAAGGGGGTCAAATAAGGGATGAAAGTTTGTATAAATATGTATACAGGGTGTTTACAGTCTTGTCTTGTCAGTTGAAAACTGACCTAGTAATAGAAGAGTACAGAAATACTGTAACCGAGAAAAAACCTCACACAATTGTTATTATTAAGAATGCTATTAACCTCCAAAATATTGGTAGACGGTTTGAGGGTCACTGGAATTATTTTCTTGTCCAGATAATATTGTATTGTTGCAACAGATAAAAAAATCGTATCCATGACAATGAAAGAGAAAAGTCACTTCATAGTTTTGACACTGCTATCATTTGATCTGCTTTGGCTTTAGTTTTTATTAAAATTCGAAGATCTTCTGTTTAATCTCTTCCAGCGAAATGGTTTCCAACAGGTTTGATTCGTTTTTCTTATTTTTTTTCCAAATTTATGAATATGTATGACAAATATTAAAATAATAAATTGGTTGTCGTGATTATGATTTACGATGAAACACAAGGTAATGATACTAATGGCCATTGTTGCAGCCGAAGCAGCAGTTCTCAAACAAATAGTACCTATAAAATGAATTATAACGCATATAACATGAATTTTGTTTTAGATAGCGTATTAGTTTTCTTCTACCGTGAATATCATCTCATTTAAATTTCAACCCCAAGACTGTAAACACCCTGTATAGTTAAACATGGAATGAAAATTTGTATCAAAATTTGTCATTGTTAAGTAATATCCATGAAATTTGGTATTTGTAAAGAAATATGTGTTTCAATATTTTTAGAAATTCCACCCCCAAGAGGATTAAACATGGGAGTAAATTTGTATAAAAATTTGTCCATTTTGATATTATATTTATAAAAATTGTTATTGGGGCTTTCTATTTTAAAAATAAAGAAACGCATGTTTTAGGATTTTTGAAAATTTCACCCCCAAGAAGATCAAACAGGGGATGACAGTTTGTATTAAAAAAAATTGTCATTTTTGAAGTTATATCCAGTTTTATGTGGCCTGTTCCAGAGTGAGTGCCGCAAATTTTTTCACATAAATTGCAATTTTGACAAAAAAAATCGCATAACTAAAAGACAAAACAACATTTCGTACTGAAAATACGATCACATTTGTTATATTACTTTAATTTATATTAATTATATAAATATAAATATAACTGTTTGGTTCCATACTTTATATTCACCCTGTATGTATAGTATATAAAGAGGTTTTTAATTAGATTAACCTCAATGCATATTCGTAAGCCCCAAACAAAGAAGCAATCACAAATTCATCAAAAGTTTTACACATGTTAAAAATGTCGACTTTTATCCACCGAAGAAAAGCAAGCTAGGAATGGAGTGTCACAGTTTAAGAGGAAACCATTATCCCTTGAGATTAGACCTAAAATTTTACGGTTTTTAAATAAGTTATAAAAGACGGACTTTTTATTTTTACTACGAAGTTCATAATAAATTATGTGTTGCTATATTTTGTTAGTAAGTTTCTTAGCCCCTCTGCGTTTTAAAATAGTTGTGGATGTCAAACTACCACGCGAGCGAAGCCGCGAGCAACAGCTAGTTTTGAATAAAGGAAGTGCATAATGTATTATGTGTTGTCTGCCAAGAGGGGTCAGGTGGGTCATTTAAGCTGAATCACCCTGTATAGATACAATGTGTCCCCGGATAGGTGAAATGACTCTTGTAAAAGATAAAAAATTTAAATTTTGATTTTTGGGGGTTCAGCCCTGCTTGGTTAAAGACTAGTTTCTAACACAATTTTAGTTTAGAAAAAGTAAGTATGCCTTGGAAATTTTTAAATAAAATTATTTCACTGTATAGTAAAGTGCCATTTATGTGGTAAAAACAAAAAAAAGTTATGAAGAAAAGTTGTTTAAAACCATCGGCTAACTATTTATTTTTTTATGTTATTATAAATCAAACAATTTTATTAATTTATATTAATTATTATTATTTTCTGGAGGTAAATTATTAAAAAAAAAAACGCTTTCTTTCACCCAGTGAAGCCTTATTTATCTTTGCACAAGGTTACTTTCGATAAGGAAAATTGATATGACAGGGAAAATTATTGAATGGATATTATGTTCTTCCTATCGCTCAACGTTTTTAAGTATTTTTTCAATAACGACTTTTACAG